AGGTTCTTTCCCAGTATTAGCCTTTGCATTTGTTTAGACTGTAGAAGCGGACCCAGCTGAACTCACCATAGGACGGCTAGTATCCTCAGACCCAAGTGGGTAATCTTTAACTACATGACCTGTCTTGCCACAAAGGAAACAAGCACCGGATGCTCGGTAGCACACACCCCTATGCCTTCTTCCACAATCAGAACAAACCGGAATAGACCCACTGCTCTGACTCAAGCTGCTTGTAGTCCTCGTATTTTGCTTCTTACTTACATGAGACCGGCCTCTTCTAAAACTATACCCAGACCTTTTTCCTTTCCAATCAGTTGTTGTAGCTGCTAGGGCTTTACTTTGTTTCATAGCGGCTATGGTGGCTTCCGCCATTAAGGATCTGTCTAAAATTTCCATATAAGTAGGCAATTTCAATACGCCTACCCGACCAAACACTTCTAAATCCAGTCTGCCTTCAAATTTCCGCGGTTTCTTGTAATCAGTATCCACCATATGTGGTGCAAACCGTGCTAGTTCTGTGAATTTGGCTTCATACTCAGCTACAGACATTCTTCCCTGTTTAAGTTCTTGAAACTCTGACACTTTCCGATCCCTAAAATATTGGGGAAAATATTTATCATAGAAGATTGCATTAAACTGTGCCCACGTCATATTCCCATTACTGCTTCGAATTAGTAACCACCACCTTTGGGCTTCATCTTTCAGAGTATAGGTGGCTAGGAGGACTTTCTGGACTTCAGAATAAGGAAACACTTCAAATAGCTTTTCCATTTCAAGTAACCACGTCTCTGCTTTCAACGGTTCAATTCCACCAAGCAATGTCGGTGGTTTCATCTTCATGAATTTCTGTGTCAAGTTGATGATGTCATTATTATCTACTTCGGCTTGTGCCGGCGGAGGTAGAGGGGGCAAAGGCAGTTGTCTTTGCTGTTGTGTCATAGCTTCAATCAGCGCTGCAAGCATTTGTTCCATTCGGCTCATGAGAGCCTCTGAAGATTCACTTACATCATTTTCCCTTGCATTCTCCATGTTGCTATAGAGACATTAAATGATAATAAACATAGGAATAATCTTATTCGTTTCTTTCAATTCATTTGCTCAAATTTACATTCAATTTTCATATCCATTTGGATTAGCACACACTCACACATGTAGATGGAATGCCCCTAATTCTTACTAGGACATCCTAAGCTCATCTGGACCAGTGTGTGCGGTAGATCACGTGCTCTGATACCACTCTATCACGACCCAAACCCGCCCCTGTAGGTTTAGCATCGTAACCGACCAGTAATCCTTGGATTACCAAAGGCTTCTTGACAGAATAGCATATAATAAGGGGCTGCGGAAGCAAATATACAAAATATAAATGGTCCAATGAGCTGTGATGACATACAAGGGACAGGATAAATTAAAACTTGTATAAACATAAGAGTGACGACCAAAAGATGCAGAATTTGCATATCATAAGGGTAATATAGGAAAAACCAACCCAACTTAACAAACAAACAGAGTTTAATATGATTACAAAAACAGCCACAAAACAAGACTTCGTTCGGAACCTCCTCGGGAGAAGCAAAGGTTGGCTGACAAAAACTGAACGTAGGCCGTCAACTCTGGCCCTGGTCACGTGCTTGCTCACCTACATACATAATATAAATAGTGAGCGGAAGCCCAGTGAATAATAACGGAGTAAACGGTTTTAATGAATGAGTTCGTACAGATTCAGAAATCATAATTCAGTTTCGTATCAAATTCATAATCTTGTCCAGATCATATACAAAAATCATAAGTCATGCTTAAGCATACGTGGTATATCCATTAGCGCTAACAGAACAGATACAGAGCAGATGTAGAACATGTGGGGGTTATAAATAACCAGCTCCATAAAGGAACCTCCAGATCCGGGTAAGAGAGAATAAACATGCTGAGCCCCATTATGGAGCCTCCGATATGGGTAACAGAGTGCAGACATATTAAGTTCCATAATGGAACCTCCGATACTGGGTAACAGCTAACACATATCACATGATGCTAAGGATGCCATGAGTACATGTCAGAAATTGGACATTCATTCATTGTACAGACATATCATCTTAGAAAATAGATCTTAATTCATCATACAGAAAATAAATAAAGTTGAATATAACTTTACTAAGTTATTACTCACAGTTGGCTTCGAGGCAGACAGACGGAGCATACTAGTCAAACGGTATACGGCACGTGACCTACATGACACATAACAGATACACACCTGAAATACACGTTCGAATTGTACATAACTTATTTCGTTTGTTCTTAGTGCGTTTCTAGCCTTTAATCCTCATTATGGAGTCTTAAACATGGCCTAGGAATGCCTAGGATGGAATGAGGATGCAAAAATGTATTGGAAAACATTTTTCAAAACTTGCTGGAAATAAGGTCCACGCTCGAGCGTGTCTTTCCCTGCTTGAGCGGGCATGCAGACAATGAATATCCGCTTGAGCGTGACTTCCCCAGCTCAAGCGGACTGCAAACTTTTGAAAAAGTACTGGTTGCATGTTTTCACGCTCGACGGATGCTCGATCACCGCTCCAGCATCCGACTCAGACCCTCGCTCGAGCGCGGAATCCCTTGCTCGAGCGGACTGCAAAACATATGAACTTCTGGGTATATGCATTTCACGCTCGAGCGTGACTCTCGACGCTCGAACAGAAGTGCATATACTCAGAGTGCACGCTCGAGTGTGAAGTCCCCCGCTCGAGCATGGATCAAATTTCTGGAATTTCCAGATTTGATCACCAAGCTCAAATTCAACTTTTGAAGCATCAAATCTCATTTTTCTAGGCCAAAACTTGAGGAAATACATGAAAACTCACAAAACAACATGTTTAAAGGATCATAACAAGAAATCATGGCCCAAAAGCATGCCAATTGTGCAAAATTCAACTTAAAGCTCAAGATTAACTCATGAACATAACATGCATGAACTTTCCTTGAATTCCACTATTCCAAAGCGTGATTAAACTTGATAAATTGATGGAAAACATGGTGAATCCTCAAAATGCAACTGAGATGAGCACATGCATGAAAGAAATCTTTGAAATTATGCTCAATTTGTAAGAAAATATACATGCATGCATGGTATGGCCTAATTCTAGTACAATTCCTATATGAATACACTTAGTTCACTAATAATCTTGTTGAATCCAACTCAATTACTCAATGAAGAGCTTAGTCTCTTACCTAGAGGCTTCAATCTACAAAATTAAGGTTGAGGCTTTACAAATCTTCTTCAATTATCAACAATTCTTAGCACCTCCTTGAGTTTGAGCTCAATCTCCAAATCTTGAACCAATTCCTCTACTCTCACTCTCTCTCTCTCTCTCTCTCTCTCACGTTTTTGGGTCTTGGGGCTCAAAGTTGTATGAACTCAATATGTGTTGAAGTGGAAGAAAAGAGTGAGTGGGAATGCAAGTGGTCGATGAGGCCACTAAGGCCTTAATTAGGCTTAAACAAAATTGAAATTAACTAGGGCCAAAATAAAAATCTAATTTAATCATTCCAAATCAACTTTTAATTAAACTTACCATAAAATCCTATAAATCCTAATTAGCATATAAATCAAGTCAATTTCATAATCGGATGCTGATAAGGCCTTCAATTCGCAAACCGAAGTTCAAGCAAGAACAGATCTTCCTACGCCCAATAGATATAGACGCAACCAATGTAACACACACATGCAATTTAATTCAGAATTTCACCTTAATTGCTAATTAGGCATAATTAATCATAGATTAACATTAATCAGAGGTCGGGGTTGTTACACAGCCCATATATTTTAGGGTTCAGTTGAGTCAGGCCATCTTTAAGCCAATGTTATGACGAAACTAATTAGAAGATTTCAATTAACAAAAGTTCGATGGTCCATTTCCTTCTCCTAGCTATTGATATGAGAGCCTAAAGAAAGATGGGAAAATTACTTGAATGTCCTATTTAAGAGAGGATAAGTCTATTTAGTCCCACAACCTTTTGAATACTCTCAAAAGTCCACTATATATTTTTTATCTTCATTCTTCTCTGTGCATTTGTTTTTCTCTACCTCTTTCTCTTCATGATTTTCGGTGACCGTCGATCATACCTTACTTCTTCTCTTTCTCTTTCTAATATATAGTCACCAATGACTGACAACCATCATTGCTTGGGGTTCACCTGCAACCACTGACTATTGACTCTTTACTTCACTCTAACTGACGGTGAAAGAAATGAGTTTCGGTGAAGCAAATGAGTAGATATACTCAGATCTACATCAGATCTGAGTAAATCTACATGAGATCCAACTAGATCTAAACCAAAAATAGTTGTTGGAGTACAATATTCTCTCTATATCTATTTATCTCTTTCAATTTCTCAATTTTTTTACCTTTTCTCTACTACATATTTCTATTTTCCTGTTTTAATGAAGAAAATTTTCAAGTTCTGAACAATTTGTTTTTAAGTTTTAGTTACAGGCGGTGAATACTGTAAAATTTTATAGTTTCGGTTTTTTTGTTGCTAAAATGAATCATGCTTTAAAACTGTCAAATTTTATAGTTTCATAACATTCTTTAGAACTATAAAATTTTGCAGTTTCATAACATGTTTTTCAGTTTGATTAATAAGGATAAATGCTTAATAGCATCATGCTTGTTATAGTTTCAAAACATACATTTCAATTTGATCAATATTAGAGATTATTTGTTTAAATCCTACAAAAATTAAAAAAATAATATATACTTTTCCCATTGTTGTTTGTTGTTTTTATTTTTATTTTTTTTCCCATTTAGTTTATTAATATTTAGCACATTTTGCTATGTTTTTTTCACTATAATTTTTCCATTTATTCTTTTTTTTTCCCGACAATATTCTGGACATCCCGGTGAGTCTCCGATGATGTTCTTGATGTTCAATGAACATTCTGGATATTTCGACGACTCCCAGTGACGTTCAAAACACTCTAGAGAAATTCCAACAATACTCCGGTGACTTTCCGGTGAGTTCCCGGTGAGGTTGAATATTCCGGCGAGTCTCTAGTGACCGTTTGACTGAAAATCAGCAGTGGTGGGATGTAGCAACGTTTTTAAAGTTACAAAAAAAAAAAAAAAGATTTTTTGGTAACAATTAAAAATATGTAGGACTAATTGGTACAAGTATTTTGTTATAGGATTAGATGAGTTTTAAACTTTGTGTATGGGACTTATTGGTAAGTGCCTTAACAAATATTTCTTCTTGGGCTTGGGCACCCTCTGTTTCTTTCAAATAGATGTAATGGCTTTGTTTGATTGATAGCTTGTTTGAAATGCGGGTTGGCTTTTTAACTTTTTAACTATTTTAGTCTAGGGCTAAAAAGTTTCGCTTGGGATAGACTTTTAGTTTTTTTTTTTTTTTTTTTTACTTTTATGAGAAAAATAATTAAATGATTATGGGTTGGATGTGATATTTTGTCATATTCAGCTAAAATAGTCTGCTTTGTCTTATATGGCTATTTTAGCCAAAACATCTTCCCATACAAGCTCTAAATGGACTACAGTATAGAATTAAAATTATTAATCCATGGGACTTATATTTCATTATTTGTTTCCAAATTTTATTATTCGGATTAGATTCTAATGGTTGTTCTATTTAACAAAATTAAC